GGTTCACAAACTTTCATTACTGTGAATGCTCGAAAACAATCCACCATCTTGACTTCTACTGATACAAACAATTCAAGGGGCACAACTCTAAGTTTCAATAGCTCGTGTTCAAATGAAAAAAATGACTGTTCCCAAATTACAGTATTATAAAATAAAAATTGTGCATGTTTTCAACTTTACTCCTAGAAACCGTAGCCTAACATATAGCATTTTGGAATCAGGCCAACCCCGTGAGCAAATTAAAAAACATTCCGGGTCGGATATGGACACGCAATCCTGAAATTTTGCATTACCAGGTTTTTATTACTGAGATTTTTTTCGGCGATTTTTTACGTGATTTTACGATAACAATCTTTATAACTTGGAAATAAATTTGAGAATAATTGAAATTAGTTGCAAAATCCACCGAAAGTCACCTATGAAATAAAAATAATTGTTTTTACGGAAAGCAATGACCTACGTACATCAAATTTTCTTTAAATTAAAATGGCGATAGAGGAATTATCGTTGGACTTGTAAAAAGTAAGCTGAAATATTCATACAATACTTATGTGGAAGATTCCACATTTGCCAGTTATACCCCATTGGAAAATGCACTCTTCATCTATGGTAATTACCACCACATTACATCAACACAGTACATAGACAAGCATTCATTGGTTAATCACCTTCAAACTAGCTCGCTGATTGGTCAGTTCCGACCAATCAGATATCCTGCACGCGAGGAATGAAATTCCCCGCGTTTTCGTCCTGAGCCTCCCACGTGGTACAACAAAATTATAAAAACAAAACACGTGTAAACTCTCTCTCTCTCTTTCTCGCGTCTCATTCCTTGCTGCCAAGATGTAACTTTCAAGAACTCCCGTCTTAACTAATGTAGTCAGACGTTAAAGACCATTACCAACATTCACACAAGTACGAACTCTAAAATCTCTTCTGAACTTTTACCAACTTGTACAATACACAATTCCAAACATGCAACAACTCATTCTTCTACAGTTTAATAATGAACTTCTTCTTTATGAGTTTAGGTACAAATATTACCTAGTCTAAGAGACACAACTCTGTCTAAACCTTTCAGTTCACATGCATGTACATCAAATATTTAATAAATTCAATTGTTATGTTTTGAAATCATTCCGTTCAGTTCTGTATTTTATACTATGTGCTATTTACGACAAATATAAATTTGCATTACGTCCACGCATTGTCCTTAATCCCACCTTTCTTAGTCAAATTTAAATATTGGTAATCCCGTCGAGACACTTAAATGCAGCGATCATTTTTTAGTTCTTCTGTAGTTTATTGTTGTCTATCCTATCTACTCCTTCCTACTTATTGTGATGAAATCCCAATCAAGAGCCCTCCGCAGGAGCTAGCTTAAAAGCTGCCCTATATGAAGACTTTTCAACTAGAGTATCTTTAAAAACTCGCTTTTGCATGTTCGATATACAAAGATGTTTATACCGAACTGGTTCGAATGTTATTCCAAGTGGTGAAGATAATTTCATGAAGATAAAAGGTCCGAGTAAAGAGAATTGTAACTCCGACAAAAATGAAACAAGCATCTCTTTATTTTTATTCGGGGAAACCACTTCTTAACTCTTTGAGCCCTGACCACTGCTTTACCGGTGGTAGAAAAAATGACTTAATGCCCAGCTACCGGCTGAACAATGGGTAAACACTTGTAACTATTTTTAGATCTACCGTGAAAAATTACATAACAATTACTTGCGAATTTTGACTGAGGAACTCAGACAGAAGGGTTAAAATTGTTCAGGAACGCATGCTTCAAAAGGTTAAGTTAAACTGTGCCTCTATCAGTTTGGCCACGGAAACAGACTTATGAAACAAAATTAGAATTACCTGTTAATTAAATTCTCACTGTTTCAGAAATTAAAACAAAAACAAAAGGCGACAGCAACACAAAAACGTGTATCCACTACAAATAACATTTATAGTAATAAGAAATAATGTCGTGTAAAAAATCCTTTCAAAAATTACTGTTGTTTACGATTCGCGGACGAAATTTAAGCTAGCCGATATAGATTCAACAAAGGCCCAAAAAGAAAAACATATTTTCTTTTCAGGCAATTCTAACAGCCCGGCTCCGAAATAATGTCGGATAAAAAAATCCTTTCAAAAATTATATACATGTATATAGAAATGTAATGAATTTATATTTTAATCCGATATCAGCCTGCATATCCGAGAAATCTTAACGAAGAAAAATATGTTTCCTGGCGGAGATCGAACTTGCGTCACACAGTTCAATACGGCGTGTTTTGCTTTTAGTCCAAGAGGAACAACAAAAGCACGCGGGGTGTCTTTTCTCTTTTTAAAGAAAGCACATACTCTTCACTCAAATCATTTTTCTCGAAAGTACATGTCTTCTCAGTTTCGTATCAGAAAAGTAAAACAAAGCTATTTCTGAAGAATTAATGAATTCATTTTTAATCCGACATTTTATGTTTAGGGAGAGGATGAGGAATGCATTTCTTGAGCGATAGACGTAGTATACACTGTGTAAGAAAAAATAGGGCGTTTGAAAGATCAAATAAATGTTATATATTATAAAATATACGTTTTAAGGTATGTTATGTTTTTGAGCTCCATATTAGAGAAAGAGTGTATGTAAATATAGGAAGTGTGAACACAGGTTTCAACACTGTATGGTGAGAGGCTGTTTCATACATAAATGCAATCGATAGCTTCCTGGTTGCGTTCGTATATAAAATAGACTTTAGAATCAAGTGTTTATACCTCTACTCTTATTGCTTATCTATGTCTCTGAGTCTATCTGACTCCGTCTCTCTCCATTCATCTCTCTCTCTCTCTCTCTCTATATATATATATATATATATATATATATATATATATATATCGGAAAAGAAAGAAAGAATGAGAAGAGATAAGTGAAGAAGATTAATTCCATAGCAAGAGTTTTGATATACTTTAAAAAGAAAGAAAGAAAGAAAACATATTCATATATGCAGAGTGTGAATTTCCGCCATATTTTTCATTTTCGCGCATGCGCGTTGTTTGTGTTTGATTCTGTTGGGCACCGTCTGTCAGAAAAAGAACACCATGATGTAATTCGCTATGCCAGAAATTTGGAAACGACATACTGCTTGGCATTTGCACCGGAATCTCCAATGCGAATATTTCAGTGTGTTTGAGTATGTCAATCTGGGGACAGTGTAGAGGATTCGGAAGGAGTTGGATGAGTCTAAGATACGGCAGCTCGGAAAACTCACTCTGATTGTTCCGATAAGAAAGGAACTCGCAAATTTGTTGGTGACAGCTTCAGATTCAACAAAGTGTCCAACATCAAGTACCCTGAGGAGGCAGTGCTACCTTGTGTCAATAAGGAGGCTGCTGGAAGACCCTAGGTCTGGCAGCAGGTCTCTGCGCCATGCCACACAAGCAGGAGAACCCAATATTGGCTGTGAGACAATTTTTGCGACCACATCACTCCTTAAATCTGACCACCTAACTCCCCAGACAACAACTCCCTTGATTATTATGTGCGGGGAGCAATTGAGCGGGAGACCAACAAAACTCCTTGTAACACCAAAGTTGAACTGAAGGCAAGGATTATGGTAGCATTCACCAACTTAAACAAGGAGACGTTCAGAAGAGTCCAGAAGGAGATTATAAGTCCTCTGGAGGTCGTAGTTGAAGCCAACTCTTTAGTATTACAAGATATTTTTGGATAATTTTGGTAAATATATGAGATGTTAGTTATATTTTAATTTTTGCGTAATTTAGATGACAATTTATCCAACGCACTCCGTATATATATATATATATATATATATATATATATATATATATATATATATATATATATATATGTATGTATAAGCACCTCCAAACTTTCACTAAAAAATCAACATAAATCAATAAAGGCAAATTTTCATCGTCAAAATCATTATGTTATTATGAAGAGGAAAGACCAGAGGATCCTTTTTATATAAAAATCTTTTTTTTTTCATTCTATTTAGAATCTTCAGACTTTTGGTTAAAAATCTTTATTTTCTCTGTCGTAAAAAATTAGTACGGAATATCTGAGCCTATTTTCCCCAGTGGGGATCACATTAATTTCGAAATTCTTGAAAAAGTCAGTTAAATGTCAGGAGTTATTCATAAATTAATGAAATTAATTTTGAAACTTTTTTTTTTTTAAAATCTTGGTAAAAACTTTTTTCTTTTTTTTTTAAATTTTGCATCCCACACTTTGATTTTTTGAAAATTCTTTTCCGGAGCGCTTAATGTTTATAATAGTTATAAGAACAAGTCCTAGGAGAATTGAAAGGTGTCTACGTTGTATTCGTCATTTAATTTTACTACAATTATTTCCCCTTAGATAAATCACGCGAACATCAGGTTATCGATAGATTTGTCGACACTCATAAAATACCGTATCAAACATTGTAACTCGAGAAATGATTAAACTCTGAAATGTGTGAGTAATGATCATTTCAATGAGGAGAGAACTAAAGAAACAAAATTAGAACCAAATCTTATCACTACTGTCTGTAATGGTGAAGACACTTAAAAAGAAATATGTTTGAACTCAAAATAGATTTGGTTTGGCTTGATCCCGCCACCCGTACAAACCAAATGTTGTAGGATCTAATCAGAATGAAAGGGAAGTTGGAGATTATTTGCTTAGCAGAAGGCTAACTGGAAAGAAAGTGGAGATAATAACGAGTTTTATTAAACACAAGTCGATAAAGAATAGCAAAAAGAAGGGATGAATGTCACATCTGGTCTTCATTTAACGAGAATTCACTTTGAAGAGACGACACATATAGATGTCGACGAATACCGGAGCTACACTCAGTTCAAGGGAGTCGTTTGTTTAATCTTATGCGTTCAGTACGAACTGAATTTGGGTTTAAAATACTTTAGAAGTGAGTAAAGAAAGAAAGAAAGAAAGAAAGAAAGAAAGAAAGAAAGAAAGAAAGAAAGAAAAAGAAAAAACGAGGAGTTATTCAGTATGAAGAGGTCGGACATACTCCAAACAGAAAGAAAGAAAGAAAGAAAGAAAGAAAGAAAGAAAGAAAGAAAGAAAGAAAGAAAGAAAGAAAAAGAAAAAACGAGGAGTTATTCAGTAGGAAGAGGTCGGACATACTGCAAACAGAAAGAAAGAAAGAAAGAAAGAAAGAAAGAAAGAAAGAAAGAAAGAAAGAAAGAAAGAAAGAAAGAAAAAGAAAAAACGAGGAGTTATTCAGTAGGAAGAGGTCGGACATACTCCAAACAGAAAGAAAGAAAGAAAGAAAGAAAGAAAGAAAGAAAGAAAGAAAGAAAGAAAGAAAAAGAAAAAAACGAGGAGTTATTCAGTAGGAAGAGGTCGGACATACTCCAAACAGAAAGAAAGAAAGAAAGAAAGAAAGAAAGAAAGAAAGAAAGAAAAAGAAAAAACGAGGAGTTATTCAGTAGAAAGATGTCGGACATACTCCAAACAGAAAGAAAGAAAGAAAGAAAGAAAGAAAGAAAGAAAGAAAGAAAGAAAACAAATAAAGAAAGTAAAAATGAAAGTACGAAAGGGAGGAAGAAGAATAATTAGAAATTTTTAATACAATCGAGAAGAAAGACAAAAGGAAAGTAAGAAAGAACATCAGGTTACCGATAGATTTGTCGACACTCATAAAAAATCGCAAAAGATTATAAGTAGAAAGAAAAAAAAGCAAGCAAGAAAGAAAGAAAGAAAGAAAGAAAGAAAGAAAGAAAGAAAGAAAGATAAAACTATAGAAAAAACAAGGAAAGAAAAAATAGATAAAGATTAAGATTTAAGAAGCAAAGCAAACCAAGAGACTTGATACCTGGAGAGTGAAATACTGGAAGAGACTGATTGAACAGATTGAATAATGTCGTAGGAAAAAAAAAAACTAATTGGTTCGTAAAACGCACACGAAATTCTGATTGGATTAATAATTCCGCCATAACAATCTAATTATCGATACTCGATAGATTTGTTGGAATCGACTGCCAACTTTAGAGCCGTGCGGGGAAGTGGGGACAAAGACACGACACACAATGAAAATGCGACGAGGCTATTTATTTGCACTTATTTTTTCTGATGTTCACTGGTTCAATGATTGGACAGGTTTTTTTTTCACTCGTTGAAACCTGATCACTATTAGTCAAATTATATTTCCGCTATTTTTTGTTTTTTTATTTATATTTTTATTTTTTTATGGAAGGTATTTAATTTTTATATCGACAGCTGTCAAATGGAACAATTTTCTGTCTTTTGTCCTTGCACACAATTTTCTTTCATGAAATACAAGTATAATTTTATTATTTCAAATAGTTGTTCTCAACTCCATTGATATAGATATTATTATAAATACAACGTTTCGGTTAAGTACTTTCTGGCCATCATCAGGTGTCCCTTGTTTAGCTGATGTGGGATATTTGTTGATTATTGTGCTATTTCACCCCATCCCGTAATGGCAGTTATTGTTCGTTCCTACTGAACCAGTGATTCATTACTTGATTCAAGGATTAAAATCAAGAACATTAGATGTCAGTAACACATGTATGACCAAAGGGTTGATACACCATTGAAAACGAATCAATCAATCAGCATGGATCGGGCGTTCGAATAACTTGGACCGATTTTAAATGTCAGTTAATTTTAAGCGTCTAATGATTTTTTTTTTCTTTTACTTTCAGATTTAGCAACTTAAGTCTTTGGTAATTTCAAGCATGGAAAGATTGACAATCAAGCAGCATGTTAAAGTTATCGAAGCCTATTACGAAAATGGACGTCTAAACAGAAATGTATTCCGCGCACTTCGCAATTTTTGGTCAACATAATCGACCAACCGAGAGTGCAATTGGAAAATTTTTTCGTAATTTCAAACAAACTGGGTCGGTGGCAGATGTGAAAACACCATCAAGTGCTCATTTACACCGTTCAGCTGAAAACATTGATGCAGTGCATAAGAATGTGCCCGAAAATTCAGACACCTCTATTCATCATCGTGTGCGGGAATAGAACATCACAACATCGTTAAATCGAATTTTGACAAAAGATTTGTCTCGACACGCCTACAAAATTCATTTGACAGAACTGAAACCTGCTGACCACTTGGAACGACGTACATTCATCAATTGGATGCACGAGCAAAGACAAGCCGATGAAGATTTTTCGCAAAAGATCTTCTTTAGTTATGAAGCCCATTTTCTTCTTGGTGGATTTGTTAATACGCAGAATTGTCGTATTTGGGCTGATAAAAATCCAAGAAAGATTGCTGAAAAGCCACTGCATTCACAAAAGATCACTATTTGGTGTGCATTTCTTACTAACGGAATCATTGTGCCGTATATTCATAAATTCGAACGTCCATTTTCGTAATAGGCTCCGATAACTTTAACACGTTGTTTGATTGTTAATCTTTCCATGGTTAAAATTGCTAAAGACTTAAGTTGTTAAATCTGAAAGAAAAAATCATTTGACGCTTAAACTTAATTCACATTTAAAATCGGTCCAAGTTTGGAACACAGTATATAACAAACTGTTTTATCCAATACCCCGCTACCCCGAAGGAGAAATATTCTTTTATAAGAGATATACGAATTCCAAATTCTTTTCAGCTCTTTCATGTCCTTTATACAATTAACACACAGATTCATGCTTCAGATTTCATCAGGTTAAATATATCAATTACGAGCTTAAATGCCGCCCGCGGAGTGCTCTTGATTGGGCCTTCATAGCGAGGAGTAGATGCGATAGGCAACAATAAAATACAAAGCACAAAATTGATCGCCGCATTTATGTATTCTATTAATATTTAAGCTCACCTTTTAAAAGTTCAACGATAATTCTTCTGCCGCCATGATTTGATATATCTAGCTCATTGCTTTCCGTACAAACAACTTTTTTATTATTTCATGGGTGACTTTCGATAGATTTAGCAATTAATTTTGATTATTCCCAAATTTAATTCCAAATTATAAAAATTGCTATCGTACAAAAAATTTATCGCAAAAAGTCACTTAAAAAAATTCGTCGAAAACAATTTCAATAACGAAAACTTGAGAATCCAAAATTTCAGGATTGCGGGTCTGGATTCTGCCCGGAATGTTTTAATTTGCTCACGGAGTCGGCTTGATTCCAAAATTGTATATCATGGGCTACGGCCTCTAAGAGTAAATTTGAAAAAGTGTGACACATTGACACACTGGCCTTGATATTTATTATATAGAAGAACAAAAACTATTTCTTTCTTTTCTACCTTCAAATGCGACAAGAATGTGTTTCCAAAACCATACATATTTTTTTTCAATGTAATAACAGTTTATCGATTCCACAACTGTTCGGAAAACATCTGGAGGAATACTGTATCGATAGCAGTCTACAGATCCTTGATCTGTGCCTTTACTATAAACATTTTCATTGTAATTGTTTTGATGCGCTTTCCTCTTTTCCTTGATTTTACGTATTTAAGCGCAGTACTAGATTGACCATTAGGTCTCATCATTTTAATTTTGAAATTGTTAGCTGAAACCATAAGTTATATGCTAATAGTTTCTTCTGTCACACCTCTCGCTTGTTGGATTCTCTTCTGGTCTAGTCAACTTTGATCTTCAACAATTTAAATACAATGTCAATTGTTAAGTTTTGTCTCCTTAATTCATGTTCTTCTATTGTTCATAATAATATTTTCATTTTTCTCATACTCTTCCAAACTCAGTAACTCCTTGCGTCTTAGTAGCTTTATTTCCTTGCTTGAGGGTGAAATGATCGAAAAACAAAAAATATATTTGTACGTGCTGGATCTTGCGTGCGAATAAACATGCCCACTATGTTCTTTTGGCATCCATATCAAAGTCTAAATTTAAGAACGTAACCCGGGGTTTTAGCTTAAAGAATCCTTTTACACTTGTTATTTAATCTATAGATGCGGGATAGGGAGGAGTAATTGATTCATGCCTTTCTCAAAAACATTTGTGCGAAAATGAATGCAACAGATTAGGCTGGAATTTAAATTCAGCTAGACTAATTCAGCACCGAGTAACTTATAATGTTAGCCGCACATAAATGATTGTAGTGAGTTTGATCCTCACTTGGTGCCCTTTTCGGCCTTGGGCCACATCTAAGCTACGCTTAGAAAATCGCCATAAATGATTGAAATAAGATCATTAAGTTGATGTCAGACTCAGAAGGGGAAACTGTAAGAACTCCTAGACAAGCTATTAAAAGAAAGCGGGAAGAAAAGACTAAAAAGCAATTGAAAAAGATAGACTGTATCATCCTTAACAAGATGGACAGCCCAAAATGCGAGCTGCGAATTGGAAACGTAGGAATAAAGTAAGTACAGTCATTTAGCTATTAAGAATTGTTATAGCTGACAACAGAAAATGTGATGCAGTATTCTGAAAACGTATTGGAATAGCAAAAGATGTTATACAAATGCTAAGCAAAGTATTAAGAAACAGGATAATTTCATTAGAAAGCAAAAACGACTGTCGAAATACTAAGCCATATCAACCCTTTCATATGGCAGTGAATGTTAGACAATTCCCTCACAAATGAAAAGGAGACTTGAGACAACAGAGATGTGATTCTACAGAAGGATGCTGAGAATATCATGGATGGAACATGTGAATAATAAGAATGTTTTAAGGAAAACAGAAAGTAAAAACGACTTAGAATCAGAAAGAAACATTTTTTTCTAGGAGTAAATAGGACCTGGGAAATTTGACAATTACTGGACATATTGAAGGCAAGAGAAACAGCGAGAAACTGAGTAATCCCCTAACAAGCTTGTGTAAATGGATAGTAGAACAGGGACTCCGGAGCATGATAAGGAGACATACATTGCTTAGAGTTACAAAAGATAGGAGGTTGTGGAGAGCAATGATCGAAGAGGCACTTAATCTATATGCTAAATTTGATTATACTTATATTTTAATCGAATTTACACCAAACAAGGCAGTAACGTTATAGTGGCGTGGGGCTTAAGGGTTAAAATGAACAGTTGATTTACCCACACCAAGAAGATTAATGAAAGATGATAATGACGAGAAAACACACGGGTAATTTTAACAAAACAAGGAATTTATTCACGAATTTACACGCTTGAAGTAGTGTTAATAGCTAGTTTCAAAAAAATAAATAAAAAATTGTTAAAATCCGTAGTTTTAAAGAATTGTCTTGAAAAGGAAATGTTCATACAACAGATTAATTGATCTGGCACAAAATAATATTCAAAAATGTTTAAAACTAATGTAAGTTATAGTTATTTTCATGGTGGATTTTTCTCATAACCTTTCACAAAGTTATTGATTTCTACTAATAATTCTGAAAAGCTTAATCGCCACTTACCTTTGACCATCAATCAGACCTGAAGTTTGACATACTATTAATATATTTCACTTAGCATTCGCATTTTAAAAGTTTTTTTCCCCTATGCATTTCAAATACATTTGTTGTTGAACACATCCTTTTCGACATGTTATCATATACAGTTGGACCATTTAGGGGAATTCTTTACACTATGTTAAAATGGCTGAACTACTATATAATCCACCTATATGATAGTGAATGCTGGCCTGTTTCCTTACAAATGAAAAAGACAGTTAAGACAACAATTGTTAAGACGACATTGTTATTTTAAGTATAATATGTGATTCTACAGAATGGTGTTGGAAATACCATGGATGAAACATGTTACCAACAAGGAAATTTTAAAGAAAATGAAAACAAAAACAACGCTTTTACTTAGAAAGAGATA